TTCATTCGAAGGCAGTGAGTTTAGTTTTCGGTGCTTTGGAGAAATGTGAGGTTGGAGCTGTGGCATGATGTAAGAGTGAGCCCTGTTTCAGAGGAATTTTAGAGTCTTTCCAGATCATTTGCTTCTGGGGAGTCCACTGAGACCCGCGGCCATCAAACCCATTCCGACTCACAGTGCCCCTAGAGGACAGAGTAGAACTGCTGTCATCTTTACGGAGGCTGACTGCCCTACTGCCTCACCTTTCTCCGCAGAGTGGCTGGTGGGCTCCAACCGCCGACGTTTTGGTTAGCAGCCCGCCGCCTTAACTGCAGCGCCACCAGTTTCTCTGTATTCCCTCGGATGGCAGTCAGACCCCCCTCACCTAACTGGAGGATCTTACGTACCCTCTCCGGAGGTTCTAATGTTTCCTCCTGGAAGATAAGAGTGGGGGCCCCTTTCCCAGGAGTCAGACAAGAAAGGGGTGAAGGAGCGAAAGAGGGAGAGCCGGGGGGCTTCTGTTTTCCGGCCGTGACCCGAGAGAGTGCTGGGAAGGCAAGCGCCGTGGGCATTACCGAGACACAGTTTGGCTGCTCGCTGAGGCTCTGCCGAGCAATCTCTGACCGTTTCTGCAGCCCGCCTTGAGAACGGAGCCCTCAAGAGTTAAGAGAAACGGAGAAGGTGTTAGCAGGAGCAGCCTGCCTTTCCAGGACCAAAGGAACCACTTCACAATGGGCGCTCTGGACGTATTTTAGGCCTTTGTTTCAAAATCATTTCCTTGTGTGTCTGTGCGCATCTCTTTCTTAAAGAAGATGTCCAGACGTGGAAAACGAAAAGGCTTTTGAATAGGCTTAATGACAACTCATTTCACTGGATTGCAAAATGGTTTGGGAAAGTGTCTGGAATACGCCTGACCATGACTTCAAATGATAGGCCATGCCGGCCACCTTGGTAACAAAAGGCATCCGTGGAGGTTTCAAGCAGACACTACTGAACCCAGCAAAATATCTCACATCCTTTTCAGAAGGAGGCAGTGGGAAAAATAAAATAAAATAAAAAGGAATTAATGACGCTAAAGACACAGCTCAGAATGACAACTGAATGAGCCCTTATTGTGGTCTCTGTTGCCCAGGGGACGTAAGATACAGGCTACAAGGCCACACGTGACCCCACCCAGTCTCAGAGGCTCAGGCAGCCAGTTTCCACTTCTGTTTTTTGTACTTGAAAGAAGGGCATCAGACAAGCGGGTTCTGTGGACGTAGACTGTGGCTAGCCACCACCAAGGAAGCCTCTTTTTTTTTCCCTAAAAGACATGGGGCATTTCCTCAAGATCAGGGCCAAATCCAGCCTAGTGTCTGGGGTTTCCTGGGCTTCTTCCTGGCCATGGGCTCTGGCCTTGCAGACTTGGGCTAGATTTCCCATCCGATCTCAAAGTATCTATGTGACCCTGGGCAAATCCCTTTGCCTCACTTGGGCTCAGAGTTCCAGGTAGAAAATGAGGAACATCTAGCCAATGGGGTGTCGAGAGGAAGACATGAATTCCCCTCTGAGGTCAGAGTTCAAAAATATGACTTGTGCTGTGTATTCTCTTCCTTGGGTGGGTGGGTGGAGGGAATGAGGGGGTGGCTACTTCAACCTTCCTTATTAAAAGACAGGCAATAATCGGGGCTGCAGAGCCACTGGGGTACACTGGGGTACTCAAGTCCTCAAGGGGTACTCTGCTGGAAATAATCAAGAGCTTTATTGAGAGAAGAGGCAGCTGGAGGTGGGGACCCACTGCTTCACAGTCAAAGTCAGAGCTCCGCTGAGCTGGAG